GGGGGGGGGGGGGGGGGGGGGGGGTGCGTGTCTGTGTCTCCCTGACAGGGCCGGGCCCGCCGCCTCCTCCGCCTCCTCCGCCTCCTCCTCCGCCATGGCGGGCGCCGAGCTGCCCATCCGCCGGCACCGCCGCGCCCTGGTGGAGGCCGTGAGGGAGCGGCCCTTCCTCATCGTCACCGGCGAGACGGGCAGCGGCAAAAGCACTCAGCTGCCCAAGTACCTCTTGGAGGCAGGTAACGGCCGGGGAAGAGGGGGGGGACGACGACACCCCTCAGAACCCCCCCGCGGCCTCGGCCCCGGAATGTAGGAAATAATCACAGCTAACAGGTTGCCCGGAGAAGCTGTGGCTGCCCCATCCCTGGAGGGGTTCAAGGCCAGGCTGAACGGGGCTTTGAGCAACCTGGTCTGGTGGGAGGTGTCCCTGCCCAGGGCAGGGGGGGGGACTTGATGATCTTTAAGGTCCCTTCCAACCCAAACCATTCTATGATCCTCCTGTCCCCGCAGCTCCAGGCTGCGCTGGGCCTGTGGTGGGCACAGGTGGCTTGATTTAACCTTTTAAAGTAGCAAACTGTGACCTTGCATGCATTTTGTGGGTACTTGTGTGGACACTGGCTCCCAGCAGCACAATTCCCTGGGCAACCTGGTCTAGTTGGGGGTGTCCCTGCTGACTGCGGGGAGGTCGGACTAGATGACCTTTGGAGGTCCCTTCCGGCCTGGGCAATTCTATGATTCTATGAATTCAACATCCCCGTCTCTCCCGCAGGCCTGGCCAAGCAGGGGGCCATTGGTGTCACCCAGCCCCGGCGCGTTGCCACCATCTCGGTGGCCCAGCGGGTGGCCGAGGAGATGGGCTGTTCGCTGGGGAGCCTCGTGGGGTACCAGGTCCGCTTCGATGACTGCACCAGCGAGGTAGGGCTCTGAGGGTTGTTCCCACCAGTGCTGTCACGGCAGGGTGTGGTGGTGTCAGGGGGCTGTGGCTCGGCTTTTTGGCCTTGGGCCTTCCCTGGGGCTCTGTGTGCAGAAGGTCTCAGAGCCTGGACAAGCCATCTCTCCCAGCTGTGGTGAAGCTGCAGTTCTGTGTATCATGTAACTCATTTTCGGTGAATTTTTTTGATCACCTTACAAGTGAAATATAGCCAAGCACCTGTGATGTGGTACATAAGCACCTGTGGTGTAATCTCCATGTGTCTTCTGGACAAATATGTGCGCCGTGTAGCATTGTTTACTTTGAAGTAAAAGTCCAGGCTAACAGCTGAATGTCTAATTAAACCTTTCAGGATACTGCCATCAAGTATATGACCGATGGCTGCTTACTGAGGCAAATATTGGCAGACCCTCTTCTCAGCAAGTACAGCATCATCATTTTGGATGAAGCCCATGAGCGGAGCCTGAGCACTGTGAGTGTCGCCTTACGTCTGTCCTTTTGCGTCACTATTTCTCCTTTACTGAGGTCTACTTACACTTTTCTTTCATTTCCACACAATCCCTGAGGATTTTGGCTGACTCTCCATGGATGTGCTGTATCCCGTTGCTGTCCTAAGACCATAGAATTACTTCTTTGTTTATTATATGCTGCATAATCTGAAAATAAGATGCAACCTGTAATCCTGTTGGAATTGTAGGTGGTGGTGTGTTTGAAAACAGTTAAAACTTGGCTGCCTATTGGATACTTTCCCAAAATTTCCAGCACAGCGAAGACAAACTTTCTAGAATCCTAATTTAAAGATAAAAACACACAAACAAGCAAAACCCTGAAACATCTCTCTCACTCTAAGGCCTAATGTTTTTTAGGGTGTGTATATGAGTGTGCAAAGAGATTACGGCTGTTGGGATCATGGAAGTCTCTAGACTGACCCAAGTACCAAAAGCTATCAAATGTCACTCTGACCCTTCTGTGGGAAGCAGAGTGAGACTCGAGTCACTCAGTCCTCAAGAGATTGTGTTGTGTGTCAAACAACCTACCAGCCCAGCAAACAGTCCACCAGTCCACCTGAGGAAAAGGGAACATGCTTTCTGAGTCCCAGTTCTGCCCTCAAGCATCTGCGGGTATTGCTAGGGTGATGTAAGAAGTTACTGCTCCATCATCTGTGTCTAACTAAAAGGAGTAAATTTTGAATCCAGAGCAATGCAGAGTAAAATAAACTTGCTGAAGTCATAACAATAAATGGTAGCACAAAGGAGGGTGCAGGCTCGGTCAGGTAACCTGTGCTCCATCATCTGTGTCTAACTAAAAGGAGCACGTTTTTAATCCAGAGCAATGCAGAGTAAAATAAACTTGCTGAAGTCATAACAATAAATGGTAGCACAAAGGAGGGTGCAGGCTCGGTCAGGTAACCTGTGCTGGACAAAGGTGAGGACTTTTTAAAACGAGTCTGAGGTAAATTGACCATGACAGTATAAAAAGGAAAAAAGTTACTTATAAAAAGTTGCGCTGATTCTGTTTACAGGCTGTGAGAACAGCTGATAAAAAATTAATTAAATTTTAGAAACTAATTAGTGTGCTTACAAGATGACCAAGATAAGTGTATGTATTCTGAGCACTTAGCCCGTGAAGATGCGATTTTCTGTCTTCACTGTATCCATGGGATAAAATCAGTCCCTTCCAAGTTCGTCAGGCACTTCTAAGAAAATGGGTACTAATCGAAGTTGCTTCTGTTTGCCTGTTAGGATATTTTATTTGGTTTGCTGAAGAAGCTATTTCTACAGAAGAAACCACTGGACAGGAAGACAGACATGAAAGTGGTGGTGATGTCAGCCACCCTGGAGGTAGACAAGCTCTCGGAGTTCTTTGGGCACTGCTCGGTGCTGCATATTCCAGGAAGAAGTTATCCTGTCAAGGAGATATTCTGCAACCTGCTCAGCCCGAGGGACGTAGGCAGCTCTGCGTATGTTACAGAGGTCTGAACTGTTTTACTCTGTTTCTGCATTGTGTTCTCTGCTCTTGGTATGATTATCATTTGTGAAAAACCACAGGAGTTAGGTGCTTGCATTGCTGTGTTTTTAGCTTCTCTGCAACATACAGGGAAGAATTAGTTCATACCATGAGTTTAGAAAGAGTGAGTGGGATTCCACCTGTTACTGACTTGTTTGTTGTTTGTTTCAGGCTGTAAAAGTGACATTGGATATCCACTTAAATGAACCAGAAGGTGACATCTTGGTTTTCCTGACAGGTGAAATTTTTTTCTTTCAACAACTCATGGTTAATCCAGGTGAAGCATGGCATTGCCAGCAAAACAGTGACTGTCTAGTTTGTACCAGAGCAGTAAGTAGAGAAGGGAAAGTAGCAGTTTGATGCACAATCTTGTGAAGTGATAGTTTTCAGGACATGTTTAGGTATATCCATGGCTATGAGGTCAGATAAGACAAATATTAATTTAAAAACGTGTATATGCTTTGTTCCTGTGCCAGATTTACTGTTTGTACTCGCTATGTGTTTTGTTTTGTTGTTAATTCAGGAAGGGAAAATTTCTTTAACTGCAAAAACCTACAACACGGTATGGGCCAGGCACTCAGTGACATATGACACTTTTACACAGCCATCTTTTAAGAAAAAGCCTTGGTGAGAGGCACTGCAGAAAGACTGGATGTCACCTTCTAAACTAATTCTCATAAATATTAATTCCTTCTTGTAATGGTGTTGATGACTGTGATATTGGCAAAACAATCTTGTTTGAAGATGTTACAAACTGGGAAGGCAGAGTGGTATAAATGCTTCCTGTTTGTTTTTTAGGTCAAATTGAGATAGAAAGAGCTTGTGATTTACTTTTCAAGAAAGCAGAATCTATTGATTACCGATATGAAGTACATGATCGGTCTGTTGAAGGCCTGCTTATCTTACCATTGTATGGGTCAATGTCAACAGGTAAGAGCATATAACATCATATCAAACTTAATTCACATAAATGTTAACCGCAAGAGTTATGAACAGTATCCTAATCCAATATTTCTATGGTGATTGGAAAAAATGGCATTCACTAACCCATTTGTTACAATACCATAGCAATATTCTGTTGGGGTTTTCGTTGTGTTCTTACACTAATCACACAACAGCCTTCTGTTAAAACTCATATCCACTGGAAATGGCTTCCCATGGCATCAAGGTCTGCAGCTTAGGAAGGGGATATTGTGTCACTGAGAGCTCAGATGTCTTATATAGGTCCTCACATTTTATTTCATATGGAAAAGATATTGCTGGTAGGTTTTTGGTGATGAGAGCAGAGCTGTAAGGGAAGATAGAAGTAGTACAGTGTTACACAATATAGAAAAGTACAGGTTATCAGGATGAGTCAGTCTGTTTCATTTGGCAGCAGTACCACAGATAGTTTCAAAGAGTTAAAAACAAAGGTCCTTTGACCCTTACTGAACACAGACACTGTATTTTCAGATGAACTCGAGTGCGATGTTTAAATGTGTGGGTGCGGTGTGTAGAATACCAAGAGGCTGAATAAGTGTTCAGGAGAGCAGGATAAACAGCAATTTCCATCTGGAAGTGCTGCTGAGAGGGAAGATCTGGTAATGATCTGCAGAGAAGGAGAAAAATGTTTACCCTCTTGTAAGAGCACAATAAAAAATTGCGTAAAAGAAAGGTAGCTTCCTCCTTACTCCATGATAGGTGTTAGACTCCTGACCAAGAGAGAGATTTTTATTTCTTTTTCTTTTGTGGTAGTTTCTCAGATTCTTGTAATGGTGTTGATGACTGTGATATTGGCAAAACAATCTTGTTTGAAGATGTTACAAACTGGGAAGGCAGAGTGGTATAAATGCTTCCTGTTTGTTTTTTAGGTCAAATTGAGATAGAAAGAGCTTGTGATTTACTTTTCAAGAAAGCAGAATCTATTGATTACCGATATGAAGTACATGATCGGTCTGTTGAAGGCCTGCTTATCTTACCATTGTATGGGTCAATGTCAACAGGTAAGAGCATATAACATCATATCAAACTTAATTCACATAAATGTTAACCGCAAGAGTTATGAACAGTATCCTAATCCAATATTTCTATGGTGATTGGAAAAAATGGCATTCACTAACCCATTTGTTACAATACCATAGCAATATTCTGTTGGGGTTTTCGTTGTGTTCTTACACTAATCACACAACAGCCTTCTGTTAAAACTCATATCCACTGGAAATGGCTTCCCATGGCATCAAGGTCTGCAGCTTAGGAAGGGGATATTGTGTCACTGAGAGCTCAGATGTCTTATATAGGTCCTCACATTTTATTTCATATGGAAAAGATATTGCTGGTAGGTTTTTGGTGATGAGAGCAGAGCTGTAAGGGAAGATAGAAGTAGTACAGTGTTACACAATATAGAAAAGTACAGGTTATCAGGATGAGTCAGTGTGTTTCATTTGGCAGCAGTACCACAGATAGTTTCAAAGAGTTAAAAACAAAGGCCCTTTGACCCTTACTGAACACAGACACTGTATTTTCAGATGAACTCGAGTGCGATGTTTAAATGTGTGGGTGCGGTGTGTAGAATACCAAGAGGCTGAATAAGTGTTCAGGAGAGCAGGATAAACAGCAATTTCCATCTGGAAGTGCTGCTGAGAGGGAAGATCTGGTAATGATCTGCAGAGAAGGAGAAAAATGTTTACCCTCTTGTAAGAGCACAATAAAAAATTGCGTAAAAGAAAGGTAGCTTCCTCTGGTAATGATCTGCAGAGAAGGAGAAAAAGTTTACCCTCTTGAAAGAGCACAATAAAAAATTGTGTAAAAGAAAGGTAGCTTCTTCCTTACTCCATGATAGGTGTTAGACTCCTGACCAAGAGAGAGATTTTTATTTCTTTTTCTTTTGTGGTAGTTTCTCAGAGGCCATTGTATTTGAATATTTTTAAATACACCAGAGAATTTTGCTTAAGGAGGTCTTGATATTTTTCAAGTATAACTTAAGAAGGAAAATGTCTGGGAAGAGTTCAGTTTCTACCTCCTTTTTTTTGTTCCTCGGAAAGCCAAATGAATGAATGGAAACTGTATATGCTGCTTTGTTACATGCTAAAAGAAGATGTGCTGGATCTTTTCATATTTGCCTTCACTTGCTCTGGTTGTTAAAACCCTTCAAATCCTTCGTGAAGATTCTGTTAAGACCAGACATCTTGTTTGTTTTTCCTAGCTCTGAGTTAGGAAACATCCAGGAGAGTTGTTCCTAGCTCTGAGTTAGGAAACATCCAGGACAGCCTTCTTGAGAAGAAGCCTTCTCAATCTCAAAATCTTCTTGAATATGCAAGCAATAAAGAAGATATTCTCTGGTTTCTGACATATGCTAAAAAAATACCAAATCTGTATTTTAAAGCAACCTGCTCAGCCCGAGGGACGTAGGCAGCTCTGCGTATGTTACAGAGGTCTGAACTGTTTTACTCTGTTTCTGCATTGTGTTCTCTGCTCTTGGTATGATTATCATTTGTGAAAAACCACAGGAGTTAGGTGCTTGCATTGCTGTGTTTTTAGCTTCTCTGCAACATACAGGGAAGAATTAGTTCATACCATGAGTTTAGAAAGAGTGAGTGGGATTCCACCTGTTACTGACTTGTTTGTTGTTTGTTTCAGGCTGTAAAAGTGACATTGGATATCCACTTAAATGAACCAGAAGGTGACATCTTGGTTTTCCTGACAGGTGAAATTTTTTTCTTTCAACAACTCATGGTTAATCCAGGTGAAGCATGGCATTGCCAGCAAAACAGTGACTGTCTAGTTTGTACCAGAGCAGTAAGTAGAGAAGGGAAAGTAGCAGTTTGATGCACAATCTTGTGAAGTGATAGTTTTCAGGACATGTTTAGGTATATCCATGGCTATGAGGTCAGATAAGACAAATATTAATTTAAAAACGTGTATATGCTTTGTTCCTGTGCCAGATTTACTGTTTGTACTCGCTATGTGTTTTGTTTTGTTGTTAATTCAGGAAGGGAAAATTTCTTTAACTGCAAAAACCTACAACACGGTATGGGCCAGGCACTCAGTGACATATGACACTTTTACACAGCCATCTTTTAAGAAAAAGCCTTGGTGAGAGGCACTGCAGAAAGACTGGATGTCACCTTCTAAACTAATTCTCATAAATATTAATTCCTTCTTGTAATGGTGTTGATGACTGTGATATTGGCAAAACAATCTTGTTTGAAGATGTTACAAACTGGGAAGGCAGAGTGGTATAAATGCTTCCTGTTTGTTTTTTAGGTCAAATTGAGATAGAAAGAGCTTGTGATTTACTTTTCAAGAAAGCAGAATCTATTGATTACCGATATGAAGTACATGATCGGTCTGTTGAAGGCCTGCTTATCTTACCATTGTATGGGTCAATGTCAACAGGTAAGAGCATATAACATCATATCAAACTTAATTCACATAAATGTTAACCGCAAGAGTTATGAACAGTATCCTAATCCAATATTTCTATGGTGATTGGAAAAAATGGCATTCACTAACCCATTTGTTACAATACCATAGCAATATTCTGTTGGGGTTTTCGTTGTGTTCTTACACTAATCACACAACAGCCTTCTGTTAAAACTCATATCCACTGGAAATGGCTTCCCATGGCATCAAGGTCTGCAGCTTAGGAAGGGGATATTGTGTCACTGAGAGCTCAGATGTCTTATATAGGTCCTCACATTTTATTTCATATGGAAAAGATATTGCTGGTAGGTTTTTGGTGATGAGAGCAGAGCTGTAAGGGAAGATAGAAGTAGTACAGTGTTACACAATATAGAAAAGTACAGGTTATCAGGATGAGTCAGTCTGTTTCATTTGGCAGCAGTACCACAGATAGTTTCAAAGAGTTAAAAACAAAGGTCCTTTGACCCTTACTGAACACAGACACTGTATTTTCAGATGAACTCGAGTGCGATGTTTAAATGTGTGGGTGCGGTGTGTAGAATACCAAGAGGCTGAATAAGTGTTCAGGAGAGCAGGATAAACAGCAATTTCCATCTGGAAGTGCTGCTGAGAGGGAAGATCTGGTAATGATCTGCAGAGAAGGAGAAAAATGTTTACCCTCTTGTAAGAGCACAATAAAAAATTGCGTAAAAGAAAGGTAGCTTCCTCCTTACTCCATGATAGGTGTTAGACTCCTGACCAAGAGAGAGATTTTTATTTCTTTTTCTTTTGTGGTAGTTTCTCAGAGGCCATTGTATTTGAATATTTTTAAATACACCAGAGAATTTTGCTTAAGGAGGTCTTGATATTTTTCAAGTATAACTTAAGAAGGAAAATGTCTGGGAAGAGTTCAGTTTCTACCTCCTTTTTTTTGTTCCTCGGAAAGCCAAATGAATGAATGGAAACTGTATATGCTGCTTTGTTACATGCTAAAAGAAGATGTGCTGGATCTTTTCATATTTGCCTTCACTTGCTCTGGTTGTTAAAACCCTTCAAATCCTTCGTGAAGATTCTGTTAAGACCAGACATCTTGTTTGTTTTTCCTAGCTCTGAGTTAGGAAACATCCAGGAGAGTTGGCCTTCTCAATCTCAAAATCTTCTTGAATATGCAAGCAATAAAGAAGATATTCTCTGATTCCTGACATATGCTAAAATAATACCAAATCTGTATTTTAAGATGTTATGTGATTCACTTTCTAACATCATTCAAATTACTTTCACTAGGTATTTGAGTGAGTTTGTACAGTGTTAGAGATGTGGTTTGAATTGTAACATAACAGATTGTTTGACTGACTCTCTGTCATTTCAGATCAACAGAAAAGCATATTTTTACCAGCTCCCACGGGCATTAGAAAGTGTGTGGTATCCACAAACATTGCTGCAACGTCTCTGACGATTGAAGGAGTCAGGTATCATTTCCCTTCTTTCATAAAAGCTGTAACAGAGGGAGTAATTCAGAAAGTTCTACTAGATTTGGAAAAACACGCCCGAGTTCCTTCTGCTGTTATACCTGCCCAATAATTACCAGTTGCCTTTTTTTGGTAGTGAATAAAAAGCCCCCTTGATACTAGTATATAGTCTTACAGATGACTCATATTGCAGGACCCTAATTTGAAATGAAAACTCAGCTCCATTAAATCAACGTAATTGAGAGATATTATCAGTAACATCCTGTGGACTGAGCCAGGGGCTGCAGGTGACCTGCAAAGCACAGCTACCTTTTCCCAGGGATTGTAGGGTTAACGTGCTCTTGCCCTGATCCTATGTGTGTGGCAGTTACCTCTCTGTCTGCTGAGACCTCTGCTGTTTTCTTCTCTGACAGAGCATGAATCTTTTTCAGATACGTAGTGGACAGTGGCTTTGTGAAGCAGTTGAATCACAACCCCCGAGTTGGCTTGGACATCCTGGAGGTGGTTCCCATTTCAAAGTAAGTTTTAAAAAGGTCATTTGCTTAGTGTTTGTGGGAGTTCCTCTGATGATACAGTGTATCAGTTGATCTTAAAAAATAAATAAATAAAAAAAAAGAGGGGTGGGCAGCTTTGAGGCTCCATAATCTAAAGCTGTTTTGTTTGCTGCTAAATAGAAAGTGGTTTGGGACATATAATTTCCTTTACAGGCATTAAGAAGGAATTGACAATGCATTGTCTGTACTCTCAACAGTGGCTCACATGTCATCTTGTGTTTGCTGAATACAACAGCCTGATTCAGGGAAGTTTAAAACAGAGTCTCCCCTTGCAAAGAAATGCTTCTTCATTTTGTTCTTGTATAGCTGGATTTCTCAGTTGCTGCACAGTCTAATAGATCTCCCATCTACAAGCATCGAAATTGCTATTATTTATTATAATTACAGCGTGCTTCTTTGGATAATAACAGAAGGGACTGAGAGTTTGGAGTTTTATTTATTTTTCCCCTGCCTTTCTGTTTTGGCAGGAGTGAAGCAAGGCAACGAGCTGGCCGAGCTGGCAGGACATCATCGGGGAAAAGCTATCGGCTATACAGCAAAGAATTCTGGGAGCAGTGCATGCCTGATCACACAGTCCCAGAGATCAAGAGAACCAGCCTGACATCTGTCATCCTGACCTTGAAGTGCCTTTCCGTGCACGATGTCATAAGGTAACCTCCATGGAAGGGGGTGGGATTATCATCCTCTTCCCGAGTCTCGGCAGCGATGCGGCGCGGGCACCAGCAGCCTGGTGGTAGGAGGCAGGATTAGGTCCCTGGCCAACTGTGACACTGACACAATCAGCTTGTCAGCTTTTCTGCTCTTCTCCACAGTCTTTAATGCCAGATTGGATCTGGAGCTCAAGTTCAGCTTGAGGTTCTGCCAAAACTAACTCCTTATCTCCACAACTGTATAGTTAATAGCGTTCCTTTGAAACACTGATGTTAATATCTTAAAAGCTTCATCTCTGTGGAATTGTTCAATTTTTGGATTGTGCATGGGCAGAAAATACAGTTCATCTTTTCATGTGCTGGGATCTGTCGTAATTCTTCAGCGTGAGGCTGTGTATGTTGTAACAAGCCCTTATGCTGAAGATGCTTATGTGCACTTTGGTCAGAAACCTCTATTGGAAGGTTACAAAAGCATTTTAATAAATAGGAAAACTAATGAAGCTCTACTGAATCTGAACACTGAGATTTCTTCATTTTTTACTATAGATTTCCCTATTTGGACCGCCCTGAAGAAAGGCATATTTTAGAAGCTCTCAAGGAACTTTACCAGTGTGGTGCTATTGACAGGTAAGAAAAAAAGCAGTATAGTCAGGTCAAGAATTTTAAAATTTAATGGTTTAATTGGTGTGAGTTCTTCATGTGGACTAAAGGACTTCCTCCAGCAGTAGAATATGTTTCCTCATTAGACCAGGAAGCTAACTACTGGGTTTTAATGTACTCTCTTTAAAATTAGGGCTAGAGCATGGCTTAGGACTTGGGAGATACAGATAAATTCTCCACATTGTTCTGGAGTTCCTGAGTGACCTCAGACAAATTACCTCAACTCTCTCTACTATAGTTCCTGACAGCAGATCCCAGACTGTTGTGACGAAGGTGCTTGGGCACCAGCTGTGAGGCCCATCCAAGAACTCAAGACAGGAAGTGAGATCTTATCCTAAACTTCCAGGAATTCTTCTTGCAAAACAAAAATATATCTTAAGCATCTGATATGCTTAAAAAGCTGGCTTTGCCTGCCATGAAGTAGGCATAAGTGAAGTGGAGAAAGGTGAAATGTTCTGCTAGGGACACTCACTGCATGTCTCTAGGTACAAGCAGACACCAGTGGTGTAACTGTCCAGAAGGAAATGCTTCTTTCATGCTGTTTGTCAGTATATGGTGGTCGACGTTGTGTGTGCACGTTTTTATTTACATTTAAACATAGTTTTGTTGAATCTGGTCTTTGGATCTTTTTTCCTGGGATAAGGAGAGGCCACGTGACAAGACTGGGTGAATTCCTGGTACAATTTCCCCTCCCTCCCAACCTGTCCTGTGCTGTCATAAAAGCTGCTTCCCTTGACTGTGAAGATCTGCTGCTTCCCATTGCAGCCATGTTGTCTGTGGAAAACGTCTTCATTCGTCCAGGTAGGGAGCATCTTATCCCAGAGCAGCCTTGGGTGGGTGGGGAATTCCGCTTGGACAGGGACATCTTGGGCAGTGGTTGGGCAGCTCACACTGCTTCACCTGGAGACCTTTTCTGCAGCTTCCCTGTGGTTTTTGGTCTCAGTAATTTTCTGCACTAATGGTTTGTGAGGCCACAGTGTCTTACAGGTGTATCTCAAGGTTATAAAGTGAGAACTGATTCTGTATTTTGAACAATGGTAGCACAAGCCTTTATTTGAGAGTAAGGATATTCTTTCTGGAGAGCAAGCTGTTCTCCTTAGTTGGGCCCAACTGGTGAGAGACATAAGTGTTTACCTTAAACTAAAGCTTTAAATAACCCTTACTTTGCAGTGTGAGGAAGATTCTTCAAATGCAATGCCTTGTCTTCTACGTCGTAGCACATCTGTAGGGAGGAATGTTAGGATTAGGCCAAACATACAATGGCACTTTGCCCGTGTGCTTTAAAAACTTCCTGAGGTTCTGGAGTCAGGGCAAATTGCATGGGAGGAATTGAAAATCAACTATTTCAAAGGCTTCAAAATAGCATGGAATTGGCTTGCATTTGTCCCAAGGCTGTGAGCTGTAAAGAAACATATGGGTAAGCGAGTGGACTGCTGAGAGGTCATTAGGGGGAAAACTGTTACAGGAGGGAAAAGAGAAAGAACCAAAACACACCACAGCAGATGTTTTGCTGTTGGTCTAAGTACAGACAACAGGGACTGATTAATTTGTTTTTAAGGCACAGGGTCGCCTCTGGATTGGCTTTTCTGTTCAGTAATTCTGTTTAACCAAATAGGCCTTTTAAGTTACTGTGAGAAACTCAATTTATCACTGCCTCCATTTCCAGTGTTTTTCTAAATGGAAAATGTCATTTTGCTGGGGTTCCAAGCTTGCTAAACCCAGTCTCCCGTGTCCTCCTTCCTACCTCCTTTCCCCCCGAGTCTGCCCCTGCTCCATCCTCCCCAGCTGCACAACGTATAGTTTTTATATGTAGCACAGTCTTTGTGGGAGACCTTTGTCCTTTCTAGTCACTCATTGGCTCCTCTCCAGTTATCTCTGTAGTCTATTAACCGTGCCCGTTAGTGCAACAGCTAAAGACACTGCTGACAGTGCTGATAGCCTGGATTCTGCTCTGGGGTCTTTCCCCTTCTCACAAATGTGCTTTTGCTTTCTTGGCAATGTGCCTTCATTATCTGTTGCTCTGGCTAATGCACACATGTTCGTTACTCTCCAGCAACCACGTACGTTAGGGCACAAACGCAGAGGCTCCCGTGGTGAAGGCACTTGTTTTGGGGCAATATGTGTACGAAAAGACCTCCTGGCATCCTCGGTGTTACTTGTGACGCCCACAAACTCCTGACATTGTCTGCATCGGCCTCTGTGGCCACATCCCTCTCTCTGAGGGGAAATAGGTTGTGCTGGGGAAGAAATTCTTTGGGTATTTAAAACCTGAAATAACACTTTGGAGATGTTGCTTTTGCCTGGTACATTCCTAGCATTTAGTGAAGGCAAATTCCCACTAAACTCACAGAACACATTTTTTCCTTGACTCTTATTTTTTTAAGACCTCCACTACTGTGAGGCCTGAGTACTAGGACAAAAGCTGAGTTAAATAGATTTGATGGTGCCATGATGGGGTGGTTTCAACCCTCTTTTTTCCCTCCCAGAGCAAAACTTTCACTTGATCCCCTTGAGATGTTTGTTTAAGGCCACTGTTCCTTTATCTTTCCACATCAACATCTGAATTGATTGTGAGAGAGCAATAAGTTGAACCTTCCTTTCTGAGAGACTAGAAGTCTTCATCACTAGTGCTGACTGATGAGAATAATCACAGATTTAATAGCATTTACTCCTTCTCATTCAGCAGTAGTGAAGGGGGGGGAACTGTAAATGCAGCTGTGGAGAAGAGACGAATCTAAAAATAATATGAATAAAGAGCTGAGACTGTCAAACACACTTTGGAGAGATACTAATAGAAAATTAAGTAGGAGTGATAAATAAAAATGACTTTGTTGAAGTGAATTATAACTTATTTCCTCAGGTGATCCTCAGAAGCAAAAGGAGGCAGAACTTAAACACCAGGAACTTTCCTCGCAAGTGGGAGGATGCAATGACTTTGCAACCCTCTTAAATATTTTTGAACAGTGCAAAGCAAGGTATAAAATGAATCCCTACAGTAAGTGGTTTTGTGTTGCTCACAACTCCCAGTTGCTGATGGCTTTTAAATACATTGTGTATGTGCACATGTATGTACTCATACTTAATTGCAGATCTATTCCTTATTATTATGATCTGAAACTTCTATCAAGACACCTATTATTTAAGCTATCAAAGTATCTGGCTGTGTAGGTTGCCTTCTTTGTACAACCATAACAAAAAATAGAGGCAACTTTCTGCTTCGAGCTTACAAAGGGCTTCTTTATAATGCAAGTATTTCTGTTCTCAGCAAGTCTCCTTCAGCTTGGTGCCAGAAACACTGGATCCACTGGAGAGCTTTAAAATCTGCTTTTAGTGTGGAAAAACAGCTTCGGGAAATAATCAGTAAACTGAAACAGGTAAAAAATATAAATTTTGTATGTTGCTTGAGTTATATAAGTTTATATTTAAGACATGTACTGGACTGCTGAGCCTTTGCCAGATGGCTGCTGCCTTTCTTCAGGAGAAACTAATCCACTTAAATGTTTATTAGAGCATCCTTGCTGTAGCTTGTGTAACTAACATGTATGATGGTGGCAACAAGCAAGAAGGAGAATTTTTCTCCTTTCCTCATGGTTTCTGTCAGGTGAGAAAGCCAGAGTTTAAAATCCTTGGGATGGAGGGGGTATAGTGACTTTTTCTTTAGGAAAGATCCTGATTCATACTGTTTTTTTTCTTTACACAGCTGCCAGACTTCCCTAAGGAGACATTTGAAGGCTCCAGAACTGAAATACTAAGAAGATGTCTATGTGCAGGGTACTTTATCAATGTAGCCAGGAGGTAAGTAATAAAGTTTGGAGAATTGATGGAAAAGATATTACACATATTCTTTAAAGGTGCAGCTGCATATTAAGACAGAATAATAAGGCTGTGAACTGTTAAAAGTGGTGATTGCAGCTGAAGGTGGGGATTCTGCAGAGGACTGGAATCAGGGTGGGTTTTCTGCTTTTGGTTCTCATTGCATTCCTGGGGAAGTTCCTTACATCCTTGGAATAGTAGTTTTTCTCTCCGTGGAATGAACTTGCAAGCTGATGAGTAGTTCCAGATATTAAACTAAAGGGCCTGGAAATACCCAGTTCCAAACCCGGTTTATTACTGTGTTGTTATATCTGCAGTGTTACTGTTGTAAATTAGGCACATATATTTTATTCCTCGGTTTTTTACAGTTTAATTCTGGAGGGATCTTCCCCTGCTTATATAATTGAGTATTTTCTTCTGAGCTGTTGCTGATTTGCTTAGTTAGTGTTGCTGTCTAATCACAGGAAAGTATGTTTCATTATATGTTGTTTTATGTTTTTTTTTACCCCCAAACCTTTCAGATCTGCAGCCAGGACATTCTGCACAATGGATGGACACGGCAGCATAGTCTATATCCACCCTTCGTCTACAGTAAGTTACCAAATTCTATTTGTAAAGTAGCAAAGGATATATTACAGGAATAAAAGACTGTAAACTGTAACTGTAAACTCTTCCTCTTCTGTTTGATTTGTGCTAACTTACGGCCAGGAGAAGCAATGTTACAGTGTTCATTTTCAGAGTGGGGAAGAGCCTCACTTTTTCAAATTTGGTAAATTGGGCTTATGAAATGAGTGTGACATAGACTGAGCTTTCCCTCTGGCTCTTTGGATTTCCTGGGCAGCTCTAAGCAAGTCATTGTGCCTCAGTTTCCCTGCCTGAAAATTTAGAGTAATGTCAGCTTTATCTCATTCTTGCATCCACCAGTGGGGGTTGCTCTGTAAATATTTTTTTTTATATATATATATATATATCAGTTCTGAAATAATATTTTAATTTTTTCAGCTGTATAACCAGGAGACTCTCCTCGAGTGGATCATATTCCATGATGTCACAGTGACATCCAAAATCTACGTCCGGACGGTGTGTCCCGTTCGCTATGAATGGGTCAAAGACCTGCTGCCCAGGTTGCATCAAATCGATGCTTATGAGCTGAGCAGCGTGGCACGGGAAGAAGTAACTGAAGAGGAAATAACCAAGTGGAAACACAAGGAGGAACTTAAAAGGCAATATGGTAAGCACATCACTCGTCCATATATCTGTGGCGTTTGTGTTTTTCTTGGTTGGTGAGGTCATGTGGGTGTATATTATGTCACTGAATGCATTTGGGACTAGTAGGTGTGAATCTGGATGTGCTTAACCTATTTGTCATGTAGCTCTGGTTGTTTTCTTTTCTTACTTGCAGCTCTGCAATCCTTATTTTCCTGCCTCAGCAGTGCATGTGTTGGTGTTTCTCCTGGTTCTTACCATTCTCCCTCCTTTTGGTTTGCGATAACTGTCAGGAGCAGAACTTAAACACAGAACTGAATAAAAGCATTTTGAGTTGGAAGTCCTAAGGGCTATAAGAAAGAACCCCAAACAAAGAAAAAAGGAAAAAGTATCACGTTTTGGTGAATGTCTCATTCCGACAATGAATCTAATGCCATGTGTTTTAATAAATTGTCAGTTTTAATTAAAACTGGTGCCTGCTAACTGATCTGGCTGCTTGACATTCTTTGAATTCTTCTGTCAGCAGGTTTCATAAAGCAGCCAAGTATTCAAAGGGCCCCTCTACTCCTGAGCTGGCCCTTCCAAAACATTAATTTAATATATTGTACAGGCACTGGCAATATAGATTCTCTTCAGTTTCCACAACAATGAAAAAAATGTAGACTCTTGTGCTCAGGCCAGAGTCTCTTTCTGTCCTGCATTGTCATGTAAAACAATAATTCTAAATGACAAAAACGTGAATTGGATTTGGTTATAAATTTGCTGGAAAGGATGTTTGCAGTATTAGTTAATGCAGAGGAGCCATATTTATTTGGCCGAAGTCCAAGGAGCTGAGGTTTGTTCTCTTTGTCCCCCTTAAGTTTTTGACTTCACCAGGCAACTGTAAATTAATTTGAGATTAATAATTGACCTTACAGATGTTGTATTTCTGGGAGCTTCATAAAAATAGGTGGCAGAATAGCTGACAAAGGCTTAATTAGTGCCTAATGGAAGGAAAGGCTGCAGCATGAGTTGAATTCTTATTTAACTCCTAGACAGAATAATTACAAATATTCCAAGAGTGAATGCTGATTAAAGCTCCTTCCTCATATCAAAGAATCTGGGCCCCAGCCCTGGAGCCCTAGGAACAGGCTGCAGTAGCTGCTTCATTCACACAACACTTAAGCTCTCAGAGTCTTTGAGTGATTTTTTTTTTTTTTAAATTATTATTATTATTATTCTTTTACATCTTATTTTAAACTGAAAATACTTCCTTGGGAGTGAAGTGAATGCTGATTAAAGCTCCTTCCTCATATCAAAGAATCTGGGCCCCAGCCCTGGAGCCCTAGGAACAGGCTGCAGTAGCTGCTTCATTCACACAACACTTAAGCTCTCAGAGTCTTTGAGTGATTTTTTTTTTTAATAATTATTATTATTATTCTTTTACATTTTATTTTAAACTGAAAACACTTCCTGCTTTTCTTTGCTTCTGGGAGAAACACTCCCAAGGTCTCAGCTCAGTGGGAAAATGTGCATTTCTAATGGTATCTGACTTTTCCCACTGCTTTATCTGTATGTTATTCTCCCTCTTCCTCCTACCTGTGGAAATGTATAAAGACGGTTTATTCTAAGATTTTTGTTTTCCCTGCTCCTGGTGCTGTCTCTCTCCTGCCTGAGTGTGAGAAGTGTAATTTAGAGAAGAAATGGGTGCATAGATTACAAGATGCACAGTATCTGTTACAAGAAAAAGCAAGATATGCGTTCGGGGACGAGAAGCCCAGCTGCAAATATTGGCATGAGAGTTAAGGCATGATTATTTTCTTTAGGTTTTTTTTTCTCTCCTTGCTATGGTACAGTCTGTCCTCTCTGGAAGTCATTTAGATGACTGACTGGGCCTTGAAAAACATTTGTGATTCTGTTGAGGGTTTTTGGGTATTTTACAAATAAGAGGAATTGTAATGCTGGGGGTTTCCTTACACAGAGGCGTCAATTTCTCTCTCTCCTCTTCCCCCAGAAGGAGCCACAGACAGCTCTGCAAAGAAGATGGAGAGAAGGAATGATGACAAATCGATAATGGATGCCCGAGCTCGCTATCTTGAGAGAAAGCAGCAAAGAGCACAGGGTTTAAGTGAAGCATTGAAAGAAATGGGGTAATACTCACTCTGCTCTACTCCCAGTATGAGGAAAGGCAGTTTGGTGCAGTTCTGGGTACGTTTGCATAATGCAAAATGACTAACTGGAAAGAAGGAAAACTTCTGCTTTGTGGTAAGTGTGAGTGCTGAGGAGTTACAAGTGCAATCTGCCTTTGCTGCATCCAGCAAGGAAAAGTTACCAAACTGAATTTTGCTGCTACATGTCACTGGCAGCAATTTAGCCTCAAATGTGGATGAAGACATGACACTCACTGTGGTGCCAATTCTGTGGCATTTAGTTGACTTAGAAAGGTCTCTGTGGTCTCGGTGCCACTATTAATAAAATTTTCTTAAAGGTTGGGGTTTTTTTTTAAGGAGTGGAACTGTCACTTTTTATCCATTTTATTTTGTATGATTGTGGTTATACAATCTCCATGCTCATATGCTACTCAGGAAAACACGTAGGAAGTGCTCTTTTACTGATGGAACCATCAGGATCTGAACTCAAAAGCTTGTTTGTCTCCTGCATTCTGTGTTGCAGACAGTGTCATTCCTACATTCCTATTGTGCTGTACCGTGTACAGTGATGGCTCTGGGTGAAGATGTCTTTGTATGCAAACTATTTTGTAAATGTTTTCACATTTTTGCTAACAATTGCGTAATTTTTGTCAGGGATGACTTAGCACTGTGTGTTTTCCATTTGGCAAAAGAAAAAAACCCAGCAGTCAATCCAGTACTCAGCCAGGTTATGTCCTGCCATCTGTCAGAAGACCTGCTGCCTTGTGGGCTGGTTTTCTGAGTTTGGGGGCTGTTATTTTTAAAATGTATGGATTTGGGTCTGAAGAGTCACTGTTTCAAATGTGTAAAAAGAATACACAAGGAAATACTGGCTTTGCTCAATTCAAGTGTATAAAAAGCAAAGAGCTGTGATGCTTTGTCATCACAAAGTTTGTTTCCTTCTCAGTAAAGAAGTAATCCTCTTCTTTCATCTTAATAATCCTAAAATGTCCCAGTGCTCCAGTGTGGAGCTTGTCTTTTTTGCTAGTTGTCACTCTCAGTAAGTAACATTTTGTATAAGATGATTTCCAAAAAACAACCTGGAGAAACCACCTGTCATTTCTCACGTCTCAGTTGCATGCAGCTGTGTGTCACCTTCCCTTGCTTTTCAGATAACTAGCTAACTCCATTAAATTCAAGTTGTAATTAAGTCTTAGCACTTGGTGTAAAACATTAACCATTCACCTCTGTACTGCACAGGCTCTAGCTGACCATGAGCTTACAAAAACCTTGGGATTCTCTTATGATAATTTTTCATATGGAAGGTAGTAGACCTGATCACTGTCCCTCTTTCTGTGATTGTAGCCATTCAAATGAAAAAGCTGGGGCTGGACTGGGAACTTGCCAAACCTTGGGAAGAAGGTGTGATTCCCATCTCTTGGAGCGGGATGGGATGTGGTGTACTCAACTGCAGGACCCAGTGCCACCTCGCTGGGCTGTGAGAGGCTGAACTCGAGCAGCAGGGTCTCTGTCAGCGGCTGTAGCAGCAGCAATGCTCGGTCGCAGAGTTCCTGAGGGCAGGAGAATTAATTGCTGCTGCCTGTCCCTTTTTCTGTGTGTGCAGAGCACAGAAACAGCAGCGAGATTAATGCCTTTCTCATTCCTAAGGGAAGGCGTGAATCCAACAATTGCTGGTTGTGATCGATCTTTGTAGGAAGACCCATGTTTACGATTCAACATTCATTGGGCCCTTTATCCTGGGTTCAGAGGGAAAAGGGCTTTATTCTTTCATTGCTGTTGCTCAGACTCCTGCTCTTGAGAAGGCAGCGCTTTTTTCTTGACTAACCCTATGGTCTGAATTTTGCAAAAGCCCACAAATTATTGCTGTTTAATTTGATTTATATTATATTTGCAGTGTCATAGCCACTTGCACACCAAATGCCATCTGTACCACACAGTAGGTCTGAGATCAGTAGCTAGAACGCCCACTCTTGCTTGGGGCCATGTATCTCCTGACAGATCCTAATGCTTTATGATTTTATTCATTATTTCTTTTTACTCAGTCGCAAGAAGGGAGGGTTCCCCCCCCCTTCCCTCCATGCTCCAGGGCTGCTCAGAGGTTTTGAAATTGTGAATTCAACACAAAACAAAAATGGGCTGAGGAAATAACCATGAGATTGCAAAATAAGGGAAGATAGAAGAAAAGCTGTAAGATCTGCTGGGGTGCCCGTGCCTTACAACACGCGTGGGCTCTTGGTAAAGTGCTTGGAACCCTGCAGTCCTAGAGTGAAAAGAGTGCAGTTTTTACCTGTTTTTATGGGCTGGAGTTAGACTGTAAGTTAATAAACACAGAAGGAAATTGGAAGCTTAATTATATTGCTGTATTTATTAACAGTGTTACATGGGGAGAGTCCTTTGGGCCATCCCTGGAGTCTCGGAGATACAAGACGTCCCCATCAGCCTGACATCTCCCCGCCAGCCGAGGAGAGGACCCTGGGAGAGGCTGCTGCTTCTGCTCTTAATGCCACACATAGAACAAGTGAGAGAAATGCAGAGCTTATCAGGGAAAAGAAACACCGGGCACTGGTCAGGACTGTGTTCTGGGTGTCAGGACAGAGGTGGCACGACGTGCACAGCCTTTGGAGGGATGGATCCTACCACAGGCAGCAGCCTCTTGAGGGATCCAACAGCCCTGGCTTTCTGGGGCTCCACAGCTAAAGCATAACGGGTTTATTCAATGAAATGTTTTGAAGTGAAAGGCCTTAAACTGCTAATGGAAGGAGCGTAGGCAGTGACTGAGATGTGATATTCACTGACATCCCCTGATTTTGGGGAAGGAGGAAGGTCGGTACCAGCTTATGACCCTTCCCTGCTTTGTTTTCTTGTTTGAAAGGAAAACCCCATCCTCTGCGGAGTATGGTGCTTGCGGTGCAGCAGTTGGCACCCGGGGTGGCTCCTAAAATGGGGGAAAAACGCTGGGTGAGAGCTGAGGGGCAGGGGCGGGAGGGGGGAAATCCATCACTGCCCTGCCCGGGGAGGGGGGTGAACCCCGGGCCTCTGGGGTCCCTCAGGGGGTTCTCGGGGTCCCTCAGTGTTGCTGAGGGCTCCCTCAGGGGGTCCAGGCCGGGCCGCCTCCGCCCGTTTCCATGGCAACCGCCTCCCCCCCCTCAGGCCCGGCCGAGTCACCTTGCCCGGCCGTTCTGCCCCCGTCACGTGACCCGGGGCGACGAGCGCGGAGGAGCGGAAGTGACGCCGCCGCCCCTCGGTCGCATGATGTGGCAAAAAAAAAGGCCGGGGAGGGAGGAGTGATGAGGCACGAAATAGTCCCTTCCGGTAGAGCGGATCCTTCCGCCTCTCCCATTGGCCCCGCGGCGGGGTTGAGTCACGGCGCTCGCCGCGATCCTTCCGCCCGGCCGGCGCTGTTAAGGCCGGTCCCGGCAGGTAAGGGCAGGCCTCTTCCTTCCGCGGCGGTATCCTTCCGCCGGCGGGGGCAGCTTCCGGATCGCCGCGGCTCTCCCCGCTCGCTGGCCTGTTCCGCCATTGCGGTCCCGCTTCCCCGCTGAGGTGCGACTCCGGTCCGGCCTCGGACTGGAGCCCCAGCCCGCTGCTGCCGCCGCCATGGCCCAGATCCTGCCGATTCGCTTCCAGGAGCATCTCCAGGTGGGCGCGGAGGGGCTGAGGGAGGTTGGGCTGGGCCGGGCGGGCCTCTCCCTTCAGGCGGAGGAGCCGCCCTGGGGACGGTTGCCTGGGCGAGAGGCCTCGGGCCTGTCCGTTGGGCTTTCCTTAGGGACGGTGGGGCGGCCCGGGCCTCGCCGGTGGCGGGGTGGCCGCCCTCCTGCAGCCTTTGCCGCTGTCGAGCCCGGGCAGTGCCGCCCCGAAGGGCACCTTCCAGCGGGGCCGGGCGTGAGGGGAAGGGCAGGGGCCGCGGGGCTCTTCCGTGTCCTGAGACGCGCGCCCCGGCGGCGGGCATCTAGCCCCTGCCCTTGCCCGGTCTCTATCTTGCTTTCCCCGCTCGGGGTGCTCGGTCCCGGCGGTGTGGGCGAGGCTGGCGCCGTGCCCGGGCCGGCGGCACCTTGCGGGGCGGCGGGAGGGGAGCGCGGTGGTTCCTCTCCGTTTCCGAACCGGGGAGAGTGTCCGCCCGTCGCCCCCGGGGCAGAGCCACCGGGAAACCCCGCTTCAGCGCGGGATCTGCGGGGGGGAAGGGGAGGGGGAAGGTGAGGGGAGAAATTGATGAGAAGAGACCGAGTTGTCTCTTTGTGTTGCTTAATTTTTTATTATTTTTTCTTAATGAGGCTAAGGCTTATAATCGTAAGGATGTATTGGATCGTTTTATAGATGTCCTGGCTTGTAATGTCATATCCTGTGAAGGAAAACCACGTATTGCAGTGAGACGTGGAGGCTGCTGCGGGCTTCCCTGCAGTACAGCTGTGGCAGTGCAGGCACTGGAAGTGCCAGGTCTTCACTTTCTCTCTGGTACCTACTGGCCTCTGACAAATTCTAGGTTTGGGTGCCGTGAAACCACAACCACACGCTTAATAGATTATTTCCAAGTGATGACTTTTCATTTCTTTAACGTGGCCTTCTGAAGGCGCCAGTAACAAATTCTAAAATAGCCCTGCTGCAGGGATGCAAGGTTACCTGCTCTAATAAACATGCAGCTTTAATATTGGTGGGTGAATCTGGAGTGCAGGGAGGGGACTGGAGCAGTAGTGGGGTTGTGCAATGTGTACTTCCTATCTGACAAGGCTATGGGGCGAAGTACTACGAGCCCTGCTGCTCCTCCTCACTGGCCATAGCTGTGATGGTTTTAAGCTTGACTACGCTCCCGAGAAGTCTTTTTGGAGGAGAACTTGTGTAATAAAAGTTAAATTGACATACCTAGACAGGATCTTCTGGCCTCTAGCAGCCTGGCTGTAGCCCTGCTTCCCTGTGATGTCTGTGTGGTTTGTGATGGATTTGCATGGTTTGGAGTGACACCTTTCCAACCCAAACGGAAAGAATTTAATTTCTAGACACTTCGTTAAAAGAACAACTGCAAAATACCTGTTTTGCTGTGCAAATGACTACCGTCCATAGCATTATTTTAAGATTTAAAAAATGCTGCCATGATTGGGTTTTATCTAGCTAGCTAACTATTGAGCACTGGATAACTTCAATATTGGTTTAAAACCAGAGCAGAACTCATAGCTTGGGTGTAGTCCTGGACCCTCCTTTAGCGAGTAGCAGTGAGAGGAGGATCTCATCAGTTGGCCAGTGCTTCAGCTCAGAGCAAATGTTCTTGCCTGGTGGTGACATAGCCTAGACCCAGGTATTGAGAAGGTCGTGTGTACTCAGGTGAAACTCATCCCTCTGGGTACCCCAGCTGTTAATAAAGTATTGTGGAAATGCATCTATGATACATTATTTAAGATACAAACCTTGCATGTGACCCACTACCAGGTCTCTAATGACATAAGTGCTATTACGTAAGGAAACTCATCTGATAGGTTTCAGGCCAGCACTATTGTGGAACATGACTCTTCTGACTAAAGGCTGATTTACCTGTTTATTTGTGCTTTTTCCCCTGTTCCTGTTTAACATAGAGCACAGATTTAATCAGTGGCTCTTACAACTGCATGTGTGAGCTGGTCTTTTGTAAGACTGGTGTCCAGCCTTCTGAGCCTGCAACACACATGGCTCTTGCACATAACCCTTGGGTTTGCTGTTACCTACTGAACTTCCTCATTTTATTTCATTGAAAAAAAATTTCACAGGAACTCGAATTCTCGGAGGTGCTGTTTTTATGCTGAAACTTCTGACTTCCTGCTGGAGTAAATTTTGAGAGCGGGAACACCGATATTGGTACATTTTTGCTGTACTGCTTTAGTCTGTTCTGTCCAGCCTCCCAGGGTGCTCATAGGAGGTCTTCATGGACTCAGTAGCACAATTTCTTGAACTGTGCCTGACCTACATTGTCTAGGAAACTTGTCCTGCAGGTATTGCGCAACACTTGCAAATTTGTAGCTGATGCATAAGGAAAGACAAGGTACCCAACTGGAGCTTTATTCGGGAAAGATATGGATAGGAAAGTTCTTGCTGAGACTATTCCTGAAAGTTGCTTTTAATTAAGCTAAAAGGCTGACAATCGGCACTGTGTGTAGTACAATATAGTTTTCCGTGGATCCACTACTGCAAATCAGAAAATAGTCAAGTGACTGTCTGTACAAAGCT